TAGTCCTGTCTTACGGCTTCCTCCCTCCCACTTGTAGTCTACTGTGTATTCTAAGCTTAAAACTCACATGGTCACTGGGCCCCAAGGGTCTTTTCATAGTGATGTTCCTCGATATCTGCCTACTCAAGTGAATACTAAGTCCAGCTTGCTGGTTCATCCTCTCCTCTCTCTCTCTTGTAGTGTTCCTTACGTGTGCTGCGAAGTGTGCGTGTGTGTGCGTGTGTCGTGTGTGCGAGTGTGCGTGTGTGCGTGTGTGCGGTGTGTGCGTGTGTGCGTGTGTGCGGTGTGTGTGTGGTGTGTGTGTTTGTGTGTGTGTGTGTGTTGTGTGTGAGTGTGCGTGTGTGCTTTGAGCGTGTGTGTGTCTGCGCGCGCGCCACAAATGTGTTTTTTTTTCCTCACCTATTTGTATAGATTGTATGTTTATGTACTGAAGTTTGTATTGATGATGTTTTATGACTGTAAGTTTGTAAAGATGTATGTTTATGTACTGTAGATTTGGTAATTGATGTAATGTTTATGTACTGTAGTTTTTATTGATGTATGTTTTTTTGTACTGTAGTTTGTATTGATGTATGTTTTTGTACTGTAGTTTGTATTGATGTATGTTTTTGTACTTTAGTTTGTATTGATGTATGTTTTTGTACTGTAGTTTGTATTGATGTATGTTTTTGTACTTTAGTTTGTATAGATGTATGTTTTGTGTACTGTAGTTTGTATTGATGAATGTTTTTGTACTGTAGTTTGTATAGATGTATGTGAGGGTATCAATGTATTGATGTATGTGAGGGTATCAATGTATTGATGTATGTGAGGGTATCAATGTATGAAGTATGGAGAGTATCCAAAATGTATTGGGATGTATTTGAGGTATCAATGTATTGATGTTATGGGGAGAGTATCAATGTATTGATGTATGTGAGGGTATCAATGTATTGATGTATGTGAGGGTATCAATGTATTGATGTATGTGAGGGTATCAATGTATTGATGTATGTGGATGTATAATGTTATTGTATGTAGTGAGGGTATCAATGTATTGATGTATGTGAGATATCAACTATTGATGTATGTGAGGGTAATCATGTATTGATGTATTGAGGTATCAATGTATTGATGTAATGTGAGTGAGTAACAATGTATGATGATGTAGGTATCAATTTATTGATGAATGATGAGGAGTATCAATGTATTGATGTATTTAGAGTATCTAATGTATTGATGTATGTGAGGGTATCAATGTATTGATGTATGTGAGGGTATCAATGTATTGATGTATGTGAGAGTATCAATGTATTGATGTATGTGAGGGTATCAATGTATTGATGTATGTGAGAGTATCAATGTATTGATGTATGTGAGGGTATCAATGTATTGATGTATGTGAGAGTATCAATGTATTGATGTATGTGAGAGTATCAATGTATTGATGTATGTGAGGGTATCAATGTATTGATGTATGTGAGAGTATCAAGTAATGAAATAGTGAGATGTAACAATGGATTGAATGTTTATGTGAGAGTATTCAATTGTATTGATGGTAAGTGAGAGTATCATTGTATTGATGTATGTGAGAGTATCAATGTATTGATTGTAATGTGAGGTATCAATGTATTTAAGTATGTTGAGGTAACAATGTATGATGTATGTGAGAGTATCATGTTTAGATGTATGTGAGAGTATCAATGTATTGATGTATGTGAGAGTATCAATGTTTAGATGTATGTGAGAGTATCAATGTATTGATGTATGTGAGAGTATCAATGTTTAGATGTATGTGAGAGTATCAATATATTGATGTATGGAGAGTATCAAGTATTGATTTATGTGAAGTATCAATGTATGGATGTATGTGAGAGTATCAATGTATTGATGTATGTGAGAGTATCAATGTATTGATGTATGTGAGAGTATCAATGTATTGATGTATGTGAGGGTATCAATGTATTGATGTATGTGAGAGTATCAATGTATTGATGTAAGTTGAGAGTATCAATGTATTTGATGTATGTGAAGTATCAAATGTTATTGATTAATGTGAGGGTATCAATGTATTGATTGTATGTGGAGAGAATCAAAGTATTGATGTAAGTGAGAGTATCAATGTATTTATTTATGTGAGGTGTATCAATGTATTGATGTATGTGAGGGTATCAATGTATTGATGTATGTGAGGGTATCAATGTATTGATGTATGTGAGGGTATCAATGTATTGATGTATGTGAGGGTATCAATGTATTTTTGATGTATTGAGGGAATCAAGTGTACTGATTATGTGAAGTATCAATGATAATTGATGTATGTGAGGGTATCAATGTATTGATGTATGTGAGGGTATCAATGTATTGATGTATGTGAGGGTATCAATGCAGTATTTGTCATTATACAAACTCTCTTATATGTTCAGACAAGATAATGCAGTGTGCGTGTTGTATTGACAATACAACATGTACAGACTGGTGCGTGTACGTGTGTGTACTTGCCTACAGTGCCTGACCGGCCGGGCTGTGGTTCGTACGTCGGTTTGCGTGCGGCCAACGGTAACAAGCTGGTTGATCAGGCCCTGATCCACCACGAGGCCTGGTCACAGACCGGGCCACTGGGGCGTTGATACCCGAAACCCTCTTCAGGTATAATCCAAGTATACTCCAGGTATACCTCCACCTTCAACTTTCCGCTTGCTGGATTCACTCCCACCTAGCCTCAAGGGTCGTATCATACCCGATCTTAAAACTGTGTATAGAGTTTGTCTCCACCACTTGCTCATCAACATTACTCCACTTCCTCATCACTCTGAGGCTGAAGAAATACTTCCTGACATCCCTGTGGTTCGTCTGTGTTTTTAACTTCCAGCTGTGTCCCTGAGTACGTGTTTCTCGCCTCTTAAACAGTCTGTTCCAGTCTACTTCATTAATTCCCCCCTCAGTATTTTGTATATTGTTATGTCTCCCCTGGCTCCTCTCCCCTCCAGCGTTGTTAGCTTATATTCTGTTCTCCTCTCCTTGTAGCTCCGGTACAAGTTTTCATACTTCTCCACTTTCTAAACCCCACATGTTTTTTCAGCTGTGGGTTCCACACTGGTGCTGCATACTCCAAGACGTGCCTGATATAGGTTGTATAAAGGTCCCGGAATGACTCTGCTTATATTCCTGAAGATTACTTGATTTGCCAGGCGAACATTTGCTGCAAAGGTTACTCTGTTGATGTGAACCTCTGGTAATATACTAGTCACTATGCTTACTTCTAGGTCTTTGTCTTTGAATGAAGTATACAGTCTCTGTTCCCGTTTCCGGTCTTCTTGCTTCTTCCCAATCCTCATAATTATGTATTTGCTGGGGTTCAGTTCAAACCACCACTTATCTCACCAATCTTGCAGTTTATCCAGTTCCATTTGGAGCCTTTCTCTTCCGTCTTCTGATCTGATTTTCCTAATTAGTTTTAAGTCATCAGCAAATGGGGATGCATCTGATTCAATCTCATTCGGAATATCATTCACATAAACCAGAAACAGGACTAGTCTTAATACTGATCCTTGTGGAACACCGCTAGTTACTCTTACCATTCTGACTTCTCTTTCCTGATAATCACTCATTATTTTCTTTCTCTAAGGTACTCTGTGATCCTCCGGAGTACCTTCCTTGTTATACCTGTCTGCATTTCAAGTTTTTGGCCCCAGTCTTTTGTGATAGTATCAAACATCCTCTTGCAGTCTAAGAAAATGCAGTCTACCTCCCCCACTCTCTTTCTCTATTTGATGAATAAGACACATGCGCCACACCTGGGTACCTTATTCGGAAACCGTTCTGGAAACTAGTTGCTGTATCAATTAAATACACAGGTTATTAGAGGTGTTGAAACTGGAGGCTAGAAGAGGAGGTAATCAGACCCTTAGCCTAGAAGACGGTGTTCACCACAGTAGTCTTGATAAATCTGTATTGAACTGATAGTCACTGGTTTGCGAAACATCTTCAGAGTAAAGATACCCAGGTGCTGCTCATGTCTTATTTATGAACCTCTTGGTATTGTACACCTTGAATGGAAGCTTAAGACAAGATTAGTCATTCCTGAACCCATGCCGGTTGGTGTTTATCGATTTGAAGTGTTTTACTTCTCTCCAAGTCTTTTACCACTCTCCTGATGATCACCACCTTGCAAGGTATACATGTCAGAGAAACTGATGTGTAGTTGAACGCTTTCTGTCTGTCTCCTTAATTAATGACAAGGACTACGGTCGCTGCCTTCCGGATCTCTAGTAACTGTACCGTATCCGCTGAGTTGTATATCCTAGCTAGTGGGTTGGACAGTACTTCTGCTCCCTCTAACAGAATAGACGGTGACATCTAGTTAGGTCCCATCGCCATTGATGTATTGGGGTCCATCGAAAGTTTCTTGACGTCTCTGTTGTTGTGTGACTGTTGTCCAGTGCTTGTTCTTGTTCCCTGTTTTCTAGGCTCTATGGTACTGTCTTTGTATTCACATGTTTGTTGCAGGGGTCGGGTTGTAGCTCCTGGCCCTGCCTCTTGACTTGTCGCTCTTCAGATTTACTTCCTCTTAGCCTCGTGGGTCCTGTACTCACCTGTTTGTACTCACCTTTTTGTGGTTGCAGGGATAGAGTCGTAAGTCCTGGCCCCGCCTCTTCGCAGGTCGTTACTAGGTCCACTCTCTCCCTGCTCCAAGAGCTTTGTTCTACCTGTTCTTAAAGCTATGTATGGATCCTGCCTTCACTACATCACTCTCCAGATTGTTTCACTTCCTGACAACTCTGTGATTGAAGAAATACTTTCTAACATCCGTGTGTATATATGTGTGTGTGTGAGAGTGAAAGAGAGAGAGAGAGAGAGAGAGAGAGAGAGAGAGAGAGAGAGAGAGAGAGAGAGAGAGAGAGAGAGAGAGAGAGAGAGAGAGAGAGAGTGCATTTACTATTTTTCTTATTATTTTATTTATATCAGGCTCCTCATGTGCATTGTTGGTTAATATATAGTTTCTCTCCTTCCCTTGCCAGGGATGAGGTGCGACGTGCGTGTGTTGACCTCGTTTGTGACTGGTGCCCTGACTGCCACCACCATCACTGTCTTTGTGTAAGTTACCTCTCTTCTCTCTCTCTCTCTCTCTCTCTCTCTCGGTCCAAGTCATCATCATCATCATAATAATAATAATTTTTACTTGTACAAGTACATGTACAACTTATACATACCATAGCTGACATCAGTGACATATTCAAGTCCCTTGTTACGTAGAACATTTCGGGCAAATTAGGTCAGTTTTGACCCCAGGATGCGACCCACACCAGTCCACTAACACTCGGGTACCTGTTTTATTGCTAAGTGAACATGGACAGCAGGTGTCTTAAGGAAACACATCCTAATGCTTCCACCCGTACCGGGAATCGACCCCCGGACCTCAATATGTGAGCTGAGTGCGTTACCAATCCAGCTCACCCTCACCCTGTGCTCACCTACCTGTAAATTACGTTCTTCAGTATGCTGTGTTTGAGCTACAGCTCTTGGTCTCGAAGCTTAACTATATATATATATATATATATATATATATATATATATATATATATATATATATATATATATATATATATATATATATATATATATATATATATATGAAAGTGAACATACGTACAGAAATTCATACGCACAATCATACATTCGCAAGTATACATATATTTTTTTATCTTTTGCTGCATTGAAATTGTATTATCATCTTCCTGTATTCCTTTTGCATGCTTTGAGGTAGAGTAGGCTGGGCTTATGGAACACGGGGATATCTTGCGTAGCGACCGAAATACTCCTAATTGTTTATCATACAAGCAAGGTAATCAAAACCAGGTAAATATATATATATATATATATATTTACTTTTATGAGGGGATAAAACGTTATGTTGTCGAATGAGATCCTCTACTCTGCTCGCAGTCAACATTGTTATTGTGGCAGAGTTTCGCTCTCCAGGTGCTTTGTCAAGCCGTTACATAATGTCAACATTGGCAATTTTTGGTGTATTTTGTATGTGGTGATCATGTTTTTCATTATTCCAGCCCTGGTGAAGATGCTATGGTAAAATATGTCCGTATTCTCCAGACTGCATGTGTTGCCGGGAGGTACGTACGTGGTCCTTCCTTGTGACCCCACCATCACAGCCAGACCTATCTTCCACGAGGACTACCTTGATCTCCCTCCTCAACACCAACAAGATCTCAGAGCTCTTCACACCGAACTGGAGTCCCTCACACACAGCGATGCGGATCCCGAGAAACGCAATCCGGTGCCCCAGAAACATGACATGGGACCCTGGCAGACTGGGACTGTGCCCCTTGACCTGTCACATACGGACAAACGTAAGTTCTCTTCTCTGTCTGGAAGTCTGCGGCTTCAGCTACACCAGCTGTTGCTGAAGGAACAACAGCGAAAGATAGCGCATGATACACACCAGCCCAGACCTCAACAACACCAGCAACGTGAACTACACAACAAGGACAGCCTGAAGCAACCAGCTCAACATAATGATCAACAGCCACAGCATAACACCATACAGGAGATGCAACAACAGCAGCAGCAGCTGATGACAACAGGATATAAAACACAAGACCTACTAGGAAACGGACTACCTACTAGCGGAAATAACAGATAAAATGACATGAAGCACACAGCCAGGACCAGGAACTACCTCGCCACCAACACCGGGACATTATGTAGATACACTCGAAGCTCAGCTTCCATCATGTGAACCCTGTGTCGAGAGAGACGTATGTATGTGAAACCTACCACATGTTTATGTGAAACCTACCACATGTTTATGTGATACCTACCACATGTGTGGTATTACTACTCCATACTGTCTAGACTCAATACTGCCATATATTAACTTATATACTGCCATAATATGGTTACGTAGACTTATGCTATAACATGTTAAGTCACCATACCATGATGGGGGATACGGCAGGTGTGTTAAAACGAATTACGAAACTTCATTTGTCTTCTCTTTTTAAAAAGTGTCTCAAAGGTATATTGTACCAGGTTACAAACATTGGCAGGATCCACTGGCTGAAGTAAATATGTCCGTGTTAATGTTATAACCAAAAACTTGTATTTACAGTTATATATGGTATCACAATATATCATCATTTGTTATATATCGAAAAGTCAGTCATAGCACAACTGTCCTCAAAGATTTGTTAAGTTATACCAGGAATTAAGGAAAGATCCTGGACTTCACCTTACGAAACAGACAAAACAAATGTGATAATAATTATGGACAAGGTGGATTATAGTGGGAAAATGAAAAGTTATTTAGAAGACGGGGGAACTTACGTGCCTCTTAACCCTTAAACTGTCCAAGCAGATCTAAGTTCACATGCGTAGTGCTACAAAAGTAGATCTACGTTAAATAACAAAAAAAGGCACAATACCGTGACTGGAACGATACACAAATAACCCGAACATAAAAGAGAGAAGCTTACGACGACGTTTCGGTCCGACTTGGACCATTGACAAAGTCACACTAACTGTTAGTGTGACTTTGTCAATGGTCCAAGTCGGACCGAAACGTCGTTGTAAGCTTCTC